AAAGAAAGAAAGAAAGAAAGAAAGAAAGAAAGAAAGAAAGAAAGAAAGAAAGAAAGAAAGAAAGAAAAGAAAGAAAGAAAGAAAGAAAGAAAGAGAGAAAGGAAGGAAGGAAGGAAGGAAAAAAGAAAGAAGGAAGGAAGGAAGAAAAAAGAAAGAAGGTAATAGTGCTCCTCACTTAACTAGTTAACTGTATAAAACTGTGAAAAAGCTGGGTGCTGGTGGCTCATGCCAATCCTAGCTACTTAGGAGGCTGAGATCTGAGGATCACAGTTGGAAACCAACTTGGGTGGAAAAGTTCCTGTGAGAATCCTATCTCCAATTTTTGAGTGCAAAAACTGGAAGTGGTGCTGTGTCAAGTGTTAGCGCACTAGCCTTGAACACAAACAAGCTTGGGACAGAGCCCAGGTATTGAGTTCAAGCCCCAATATCACAGTATTGAGAGAGTCAAAAAAAAGTGCTTACTGCCATGCTTGAGTGACTCATGCCTATAATCCTTGCTACTCAGAAGGCTGAGATTTGAGATTGAAGTTCAAAGCCAGCCCAGGCAAAAGAAGTCCATGAGATTCTTATTTCCAATTAACCACTAAAATGCCAGAAATTGATCTGTGGTTCAAGTGATAGGGTGCCAGCCTTGAGCACAAAAACTCAGGGACAGGGCCCAGGCCCTGAGTACAAGCCCCAATATCACAGTATTGAGAGAGGGGGGTGCGTGCGCGCGCGCGCGCACACACACACACACACACACACACACACACACACACCATCATCATCATCGGCTGGGGTTTTGAACAGGTTAACCCATTTCTATCTTTGTTTTTTGAGCTCATAAATAAACATAAGCACAGGGTTGGGTATGTAGGCTCATGCCTACAATCCCATCTCCTAAAGCGGCACAGATGGGATGATCTTAGTAATGAGACTAGCTTGGGCAAAAAATCTGGGAGATTTCTATCTCAACAAACAAGGTAGGCATGGTGATATATTCTGTAATCTCAGCTATTTGGGAGGCCTAGGTAGAAGGATGGCAGTCAGAGGCTAGCCAAGCAAAAAGCTTGAAACCCTATCTGAAAAACAACTAAAGCAAAGAAAGGCTGAGGGTGTGGTTTAACTAGTAGGTGCAGTGCAGGCCCCCAAGTTCACACCTCAGTACTCAAAAACAAAAATCAAGTTTCTGAGAATATATTCTGAAAGGAACCTCTTTGCTTAATCCACAAAATCATTGAATAACCTTAAATATACAACTAACCTCATCATAGATATGTAATTACTTATATGGAAACATTTCTTCCCAGGTATCAGGGGTTGAACTCAGAGCCTTCACATGGCTTTTCAGTGGTTAATTGGCAGATGGAGTTTCCATGACTTTTCTGCCTAAATTGGCCTGTAACCATAATCCTCCAAGTCTCAGACTCCTGAGTATCTAGGATTATAGTCATGAAATACCAGTGCCCAGCTTTAAACATTCCATTTATATCCAGGTACTGATGGCTCACGCCTGTGATCGTAGCTACTCAGGAGGCTGAGATCTGAGGATCGTGGATCAAAGCCAACCTGGGCAGGAAAAGTCCATGAGATTCTAATCTCCAATTATCCACCTAAAAACTGGAAGTGGAGCCATGCCTAAAGTGGTAGAGTTCTAACCTTGAATGAAAGCACTCACGGACAGCACCTGCCTGAGTTTAAGCCCCACAACTGATACAAAAAAAATCCATTTAATTATGAAGATTCATGTAAAGAGCCATTTTCCCTTCCAATAATCTGTAATTCTAAATCTATCCTTTGATATTTAATAAAAGATTATGTTTGCACTAACTCCTAACTAAAATATAATGTCATGCTTTAAATTTTTTGAGAAATAGTAACTATTTTTTCAACCTCTTTTCCTGTTTATGAACTGGCTCAAGATGTAACTAACTGCTGCAAAATATTAATTCAGGAAGCAGAGCTGTGGTTCAAGTGGTAGTGCTCTGTCAATATCAATTAATTGCATTTTTGTTCTCCAAGAATATTTAAATTTTTATATACTTTTGATTCTGTTAAGAAAGTAGCAATAAAAAAAAACTGTGTCCTTGCAAACTAAGTATTATTAAAAATACAAACTGAATTGAAGAACTGGCAGAGTAACAATAATGAGAAATGTGAATACTGGTATTTTAAAAGGCTTGTTGGAAGACAACACAATAAAAATCTTGATTCTACATTTGCCAGGACTCTTAAGAAGTCAAGGGCCCAAATATTCTAAATCATTCATTTCACAAATATAAAAACCAAGGCCCTTCAAGGGGCATCAGTGGCTGATATCTGTAATCCTAGCTACACAGGAGGCTGAGATCTGAGAATCACAGTTGGAAGCCAACAAAGACAGGAAAGTTTGTGAAACTCTCGGCTCCAACTAACTACCAAAAAGCCAGTTGCTATGGCTCAAGTGGTAGCACATCAGCATAGAGCCAAAAGATCTCAGGGACATTCCCCACACCTGGAGTTTAAACCCCCAAACCATCAACAACAACAAAAGCCATGTCCCTAATAAGTTAAGCAATCTGCCCAAGATAATAGCATAGATAGATAAAGTTTTTTTGTAATGTGTTTATATGTGTATACATGTGCATGTGTGCCAGTACTGGGATTTGAACTCAAGGTCTTGGTACTGTTTCTTAGCTTTTTCACTCAAAGCATGTTCCTCTCACATCTCCACTTCCAGCTTTTTACTGGTTAATTTTAAATCAGAGCCTTTCAGATTTCATGAGTTTCTATCAGTACTGATTTCGGAAAATTACATAATCCTTTCAAAATGCTGAAAAGCATATTCTAAAATATTTACTATTCATAAACTTAGTAATCAAGTATAATTGATAGCATAATAGCTTTTACAAGTTAATTATAAATGTAATGATTTGAATGTTTTCAAAGAGAAAACTCATAAAATATTAACAAAAACAAGAATTTGATAACAAGTAATCATAATTAAACAGTTGAACTAGATATAATACAAATTTGTTTGAAATATTTCACTCAATGAGTATCATTAGCCTGAAAGTTAAAAAATCACATTCCCAAAGAAGACACTTTGTCACGTACCAGTGACTTACACTTGTAATCCTAGCTACTCAAGAGGCTGAGATCCATGGATCACAGTTCAAAGCCAGCCTGGGCAGAAAAGTCCCTAAGACTCTTTTTTTTTTTGGGAGGGGTCCAGTCGTGGGGCCTGAACTCTGGGCCTGGGCGCTGTCCTTCAGCTCTTCAGCTCAAGGCTAGCGCCCTACCACTTGACCCACAGCGCTTCTGGCTTTTTTGCTTTTTGCTTATGTGGTACTGAGGAATCGAACCCAGGGCCTCAGGCATGCAAGGCAAGCACTGTATCACTGAGCCATCTTCCCAGCCCTCCTAAGACTCTTATCTCCAATTAAGCACTAAAAAACCAGAAGCAGAGCAGTGGCTTAATTCATAGAGCACTAGCCTTGAGCAAAACTCTAAGAGACAGGGCACCAGAAATGGCACCAAAAGAGAGACAGAGGGAGAGAGACAATAAGAAAGAACTATGTATATCATATTTAAATCCTCTTCTTAAGCTATGCACACTAATATTAAGTTTTCAAGCACAAGAAATTACAACGATCTCATTATCTTCACTCTTCATTTCCCAAATATACCCTATAGGCTTCTGATGTTTTCCTTCTATTAAACAAAAAAGGCAAATATTTAAATCTTTCTGTGTCATATAGAAATAATAACTCACAAAATAGGAATATAAGAATGATTAGAGTCAACAACTAGTCTACTCCGAGCACATACACACCCCAGGCCTTCAGCCCTGTGTGTCTGCTAACCTTCCAGTTTCTGGTTCTCCTTCTCCATTCGAAGCAACAAGATTTGCTGGTGTATAGCTTTCTTCCACAAGCTCTTCAGTTCTTTTGATTTCTTTTTCTCTTCGGCCTTTTCTGGGTCATCGTCACCAGACAGGAATAGAACAAGAGGCTCTTCCTCCATAGTAGGAGTGAGTGGGGACAGGGGTAGCAGCTCGTTTTTGTCCAGTCCATCTGCAGAAGAGAAAATAGTGAGAGGCATGCCTTAATCCCCAGCTAGATGGCAAAAATTTCCTCAAGAACAGACACTCCCTTAATCTAAGATTCTATACGTAAAGGTGCTCCTAGTAGCTAGTCGTTTCTGGAACTATAACTTATAAAAGTTCACTAGACTAAATTCCCCTTCCAGATTTCCCTCTTGCAGTGAAACGAATGCATATGTCATTCCCCCACTTCCTCTTTCTACCTAGATCGGCTCCAACGTGAGCTGGCTTTTCCCCAGAGTCCCACACTTCTGCAATTCATCTACGTATATTCTCTGGTTACAACCCGGGATGGTGTGGGTAGGGTCTAATGATCTCCTAAGCCCACATCTATGGGAATGCCTCAGGAGACCACAGCTGAGCCAGGCTGGGCCTTTCTTGGCTGGGTACCACAGCCCTGTTGCACCCCTGTCCTTGAATAGTCAATCTCCTTAAATCCCGTTCAGGAGCTCTTTTTCATTCCTCTACGTCAATAACTTTCCCAGGGATAAACATGATCAGAACTCTTAAAATATTTCAGTGATTGTTAATATCCCAGAGAACAAAGTGCAGACTACTGGGAACTAGGATGTAAATCCCCACCATTACACTATGACCTCAAGTCACCTTTGGCCTCAAGTCTCAATCTCCCATCCTGTATACAGTCTTTCATGCTAAGCGTCTCACAATCGTCCAGTCTCACAGTCAGCCAAACTCTCTCACAAGTCTAGAACTTTCCTGAGACAAATTTTTCCTGGAAAGGAGGGTAAACAATTTTCTGTGAGAATTAATTTGAATCAGTAATATCAGCTGCTTTCTTCTTTTTTGTTTTGTAATTCATTAACCTATGCCTTTTTATTTAGTGTTTTCGATGTGTGTGTGTGTTTAATGATTTTATGGTTCCACTTACACCTCTTGAACACTTTATACACCTTGATTTTGGCTTTCTTGGTTTCACTTTCCTGGTTGTGAATTGTCCTCAAATGCCACACAATTTTAATGTGTAGAGAATACTGTGTTCCCATTCACTCTGTTTTCTAGGAGTACAGTTTTGAAACACATGAATTGTTTCAATGGCCTTTTTCTTTGCAGTGCTGGGGATCAAATCCAGGATCCCAATCTCATGCATTCTAGGCAAGTGATCCACCATACCACTATATCCCCAGGCAAATGTCCTCTAGCCTGCCTGCCTGCCTGCCTGCCTTCCTCCCTCCTCCCCTCCCTTCTTTCTTTCTTGCCTGCCTTCCTTCCTTCCTTCCTTCCTTCCTTCCTTCCTTCCTTCCTTCCTCCCTTCCTTCCTCAAAACCGTGGTCAGTGAATATAGCAGATGATCACAACTAAGTAAAAATTATTAAAATATCTTCTGGCCAAGTATATAATTTTTATGAATCTTTCATGTATGTTAAAAAATGGATGAGTTTTCTCTAAGGGGCAAAGCTCTATGTAAATATTAGGTCAAGTTTATTCAATTGTGCTATTCAAATATTAATTTTATTTAACTTTTCTTTGTCTAATTTTCAGAGAATATATGTGTTAAAGTCTCCAATGAGAGCTACTGGTTTATTTCTCTTCAAAATCATTTTCAGTATCACTTTCTAGCTCTCAAGACTGTGTTATAAAATATGTTCTCATTGTAATTACACCATTTGTTTACTCTAGTAAGCCAATCATTCAGAGAAAACTCCATGCTGTCTTTTGTTTGATATTTGCCTGGTATAATATAAACTCCATGCTTTCTTTTACTTGATATTTGCCTAGTGTAACATATTTATTTCTTCAGTATCTTTGTCTCCTTATTGTGTTAATCTTGTGAAAAAATTATTCTGTCTTGCTCTCCCAATAATTAAAAAAAAGAAAAAAGTGGTTTCTTTTTCAGTTTTTCCACAGTTCGCATTTCTGTGGAGTAGGCCATAACAGGATTTAGAAACCCATTTATGAATTTAGCCACTCAACAAGCAGGTACTAAATGTCTAACATATCTTAATTATCCTGAAAAATAAACCACTCTATCAATACAGAAAGTTATTTCTCAACTCTTGCTTGTTCACTTGCTTGCTCTTTGCCTGGTCGCTGTCCTTTTATCGCTCAAAGCTGATGCTTCACCACTTGTATGAGACCTTTACTTCCAGCTTTTGGGTGGTTCATTGAAGGCAATAGTCTCCAATGAACTGGCTTCATTCGAAAGGTGATCCTCAAATCTCAGCCTCGTGAGTGGCTAGGATGACAAGGCGTAAGCCACCAGCGCCCAGCTCTACTTCAATCTCTTAAAGTTTTATAATACCCAGGCATTTCCCTTGCTTTCCTAGTTTATGAAACCCAGCGGAGGACACACTCTTTTGAGAGTGCCACACAGACCTTTCTGCTGCATAGCTGAGGGGGATTTGTTCATGGGCGATGCAACCCGCAGGAAAATACGCTGTCGCCAGGAGATCCGACGCGGAGTGACGGGGGTTCCTCCGACGTTCAGGGACTCGTTGCTACAGGTGGACGAGGTCCGTTTTCTTCCTTCTCCATCACTGCAGAATGCCAGCAAATACATAACTTGCAAGGAATATTGCAAAGCACAGCAATTCGTGAAAAGAAAAATGCTAGCACAAGCCATTCACAATTCCTGCCATGGAGAAGCGCAAGGCACAGGCAGCTTGGAGCCAGGCATGGCCAGAGCTGAACACCCAGGCTACACACTTGGGAAAACTGCAATCCAGGCTTTGGCCCCACCATGAGAAACTCACCTGTTTCTACTCATTCTTTAGTAGCAAGCAGTCATGCTTCTAATGTGAGGGACAGTAGTCTTTACATGGAGGAGGAAAGGCTGCCTAAGTAATGAACTCCGGCTTTGCCTGAGAAATACACCTACCAGTTTCTCTACACAATGTAAATATTCTATAAAATGCATGGACTGAGCTATGCTTCTAGGTCATGTAAAATAAGCTGGCAAAGACAACTTCAATCTCTCTAGGCCTGTTAAGATCTGCCTACAAACTGTTAGCAACCAATAGCTGAGTGTGTCAGAAAATAACCAAAAGAATACAGAGAATTGTCAACTTGGGGATTACTGTTAGCTGATATTTTACTTTTGGGCCCAATCTGGGGCTTGAACCCAGGGCCTGAGCACTGTTCCTGAGCTTTTTTGGCTCAAAATTAGTGCTCTACTTCTTGAACCACAGCTTCACTTCTGGCTTTTTTTTTTGTAAGTTATTAGAGATAAGAGTTTTATGGACGTCCCTATCCTGGCTGGCTTCAAACCTTGATCCTCCAACTTCAGCCTCCTGAGTTGCTAGGATTACAGGCAGGAGCCAATGATGACCTGCCTTTGTTAGCTGATTTAAAATTAAAAAAAAAAAAAAAGTTCACCAGGCTCCATTGGCTCACACCTGTAATCCTAGCTACTAAGGAGGCTGAGAACTGAAGATTGCAGTTCAAAGCCAGCCCCATCAGTAAAGTCCATGAGACTTTTATCTCCAATAAAAACCACCAGAAAACCGGAAGTGGCTCTGTGGCTTAAGTGGTAGAGTGCTAGCCTTGAGCTAAAGAGTGAGGGACAACGTCTAGGCTCAGAGTTCAAGCCCCATGACCAACAGCAACAACAACAACAAAAAAGCTGGAGCCAAATACAATTAAGCCAAGCTCAAAAGTGGAGGTGTGGCTTAAGTGATAAAACACCCAAACTTTGAGCAGAAAAAGACATACTATTCCCAAGTTTGGAAGTTAGGATGGGGAGAAGGTTATTTCACTACATCTGTGTTTGTGAAAGTCACATGGGGAAATACTGGTCTGCTCTAAAATGTTTCATTTCCTTTTTAAAAAGGCCACTCCTGAGTTATTCTAAACCTACATACAATAGGTAAACATGACTCAAAGTTACTTTTGAGACTAATTCTGGAACCAGGCGACCACACAATAATTGCGGTAGGTGGAAGGAATATCTTACTTTTTAAAGCTTCAAAGCCCTTTCCTGAGCTTTCCTGAGCAATGACAAATATATAATATCTTCTCCATTCTCCTTGTACATAATGATACAAGAGAAAAGTCTAGGACTTTTAAGGGAATCAGGATGTTTTGTCTTAAATCAAAAAAGAAACCCAGCTAAAAAAAACCCAAGCCTCTCAGATACAATTACTAGGCAGACAGTAATTCAATTTATGCCTGTTAGATTTTTCATATTTCTAATCATCAAGTAGTCCAATAATTTCTAATCTGGAAATGTTGCTCTTGGGATGTGCTAAATTAAGAGTAAGAACAGGACATACCTGATGGGGCTGATTTTCTGATAACAGGTGTCAGGCTATAATGATATTTTAAAGTAGCTGAAGATATGTCTCCATTGTCACACCCCTTTTGCTATCTGTCCCCATAAAATGACCTTACTAAGTTCTAGTGCCCCTGTAACACTGAATAAGCACATTTTTCTTCACTTCTGCTTTAGAAAACAGTAACTCAATTATTTCCGTTTTAGCATCTGTGATTCAAATGCTCTCTATATAATATGTACGTCTTGGTAAATATTCAAAGTCCTCAGAACGTATTTCACCACAGCTACTGGCTAAAATAGCCACCTCACTATATTGCTAATTTCTAGTACCAATGGGCAAATAGTAAATACTCAATAAATATTGAACATATGAATATTTTATAAAACCACATAAAATACAACTTAGAGTTAATATTTAGTTAAGAGATACGGACAAAAAAAAAACATTGGGTGGGATAACCTGGTGGAAATAAATAAAAGTCATGACTATTCAGCTTTTCTGGCAACAAGTTTTAATAGCTCTAGTTGCCAAAAATAGGCACTGAGCTGTTGTTGACTTTGGTAAGCACCAGCAATAACAATACTGTTAACAAACAACAAAAACTACCTTTTTTTCCTGGTGTTGACCCTCCCTTATAAAAGGCCATCTCATTTATGATTTGAAAGCTAAATGAAATATGTATGCTCAAGCACCAATTTCAGTGCTTCATAATCAACATTAGTCTCTCTTTCCTCAGACTAGCGCTAATAAAACTAGAGTATATCGGACCAAAAGATTCTAAAAATGTTTCTATTTTAATTGCTGGAATTAAAATCAGCTTTTAATTCACTGTTAATGTCATACCAAATGTTTAGAAAGTACTGAAAACCACACTGAACTGTCCCCGTTATTGGTATTGATGATTATGAAATATAAGCTTTGGGGACTGTGTCAGTAAATACATGCAGAAAGCACTCTGCCATTTGCCCACCAATACATATTTTAAAATTCCATTGCTCCAGGAAATGGAAACATCTTGTTTGTTTATCTGTCTTTAGAAGGGTAGGAAGGTACAGAAATGGAGGGGCAAAAGTGAACAAATGCAGCAGTGATACTCACTAGACACTATGTTGAAAATGAACTATACAACCTATGGGTGGGGATAGGAGGGAAAAATTGGGAGAGAGCTAGGAAAGGGATAGCATTGTCCAAAAAGAGATGTACTCTTTACCTGATTTATGTAACTATAATCCCTCTGAACGTTACCTTTCTAATAACAATAACAGAAAAATTAAATAACATAAAATACAAATAAGAAAAAATAAAATTCTACCTAAGTTCTTCAAGTCTATAAATGTGAATTGATGTGAATAACCCAATTTCCTTCCCATATCTGGACTGTAGCAGCCAGTAGGACCCAGAGCTAGCAGTCAAAATCGAAGCTAATATTATACTGAAAGGAAGAATTTTCATGATGGATCAGAAACACAGATCTTGTTCTAAGGATCTGCATTCTCAAAAGCAGTTTGTTGATGAGGGGCGAGTTGCTCTGCTTCCCGCCGTAAGAGAAGGTTTGTGTTTGGAAGTCAGCTTTTAGGGAAGGACTTAATGAATATACAAGTGTGACTTACAGCTACTCAGGGTGACTTGACATCTGCTCAGCAGTCAGGCTCTCTCTGCATTTTTATATGTTTCCTTTCAGACTTTTCTTCAGATACTGTACTTGGATTGCTTTTTTTTTTTTCTGCTTGCTTTTGTTTTGTTTTTGCTTTTGTTTAGGCAGTACTGGGTTTGAACTCCTAAGGACCTACTTTCCTACTAGGATAATGCAGATATACCTTGTACAGGAGTGAACCCTTCTATTGGCTAACAAGTGTCCTAGCAAGCAGCAAACTTCCTTCCAATTCTCTCTCCTCAAACTAAAGCTACATCACAAAAAGCCCAAGTTAATAAATGCACACTGACTGAATCTCTTAAAGCTCACAATGCGTGACAGCTTAAAGAGGTTTATCAAAAGAACTTTCCTTTTGTTCTACAGGATCCACAGTACAATTTAACTCAGAACTGCACCAGAAAGAACTGCACCAGAAACACTAAGACTATCTCAGTCGGATATACATCTGTCATGCTAAGGAAAGTTTTTACTAGCTAAGTTGAATTCAGATTCAGCCATCCTAGTGGAAATCAGTATCTAGTGTCTGAGCTTCAAAGTGAGTCAAAGCGATAAATGAGTCAGTGGTACAATGTATAGAAAAGGACAATGAAGAAAACAAGAGAGTTTTATTTCCTAAACTCTACACACTGCATGCAGTGTGCTGGTATGAGGGCTTGATTTCAGGGCCTGTGTGCTATCCTGGAGCTTCCTTGCAAATCTAGTACTCTACCAGCTGACCACATATCCACTTCCAGTTTTGTTTTGTTTTGTTGGTGGTTGATTAGAGATAAGAGTCTCATGGACTTTCATGCCTGGGCTTGGCTTTGAAACACAATTCTCAGATCTCAGCCCCCTAAGAAGCTAAGATTCCAGTCAGGAGCCACAGGTGCCCAGGTGTGAGCCACAAGTGCCTGGCTTCTCTGCTTTCTTCTACTTTCTCTCCCTGTCTTATGAGAGAAGTACACATGCTCACTGTCCTATTTGGGGACACTAGCAACTGCATTTCTTTACAACTTCAGTCAAAACACAATGGTAAAGCTAGCACGAGAATGAACTACACAACTAGAAAATTACTGTAGTTACAAAATTATCATGATTAAGATAAAAGGTAGTTTTCTTTAGAGCTCCAAGACTGGCGTGCACGCACACGCACGCACACACACACACACACACACACACACGCACACACACACACACACACACACACACAAAGGAAGAAGGAAGGGAAAGGAATGAAAGAAAAGAGAAGGGAAGGGAATGGCAGATGTTTACAGCTATACAGGTCAGCAGGAATTCTGGTTGTCTTCCCAAGAAAGCATGTAAGATCATGACAAAGAGGTGTCACCAAGACATCCATTAGGGAGAACTGGGTGCTTCTTGAATCCAGACTCAACTTAGCCACCATCAGAGTGATGAGAATTAAGATGAACTAAAATAGGTTAATACTCATTGCCACAAGGAGAAAAGCAGATTCTATCTGCTGGGTCTATTTCTTCTAGGTTGAGCTTTTCTCCACCTAAGAATTGGAAGATGCTCCTTCTACGGACATATTATATCTCCCAAGTAGGAAATTCATTTTAATTTGTTTTTAAATTAAATTTGACTCTGATTGGAGGCCACAGCACTGTGC